TTTCATAGTAGGCACCTTCCCTAGGCCTATTCTCTGAGGATAGGGCACCACCGTCCCTCAGGACCTACTTAACGCTCATTCAGATGGTTTCCCAAAGTCCTCTCAAATTTCTTAATTTTAGCTAAAGCTAATTCATAATAATATCAATGAGAATGATCAAAATCCTCATGAAGGCCAGGACTTGGTTCATTTGATTCATTGCTATGTCTCTAATTCCTAGAAAATTGTCTGCCATATGGTAGGTGCTCAGTATGTATTTGCTGAATAAATGGATAAATGTGTTGGCACTTTTTTCGATATAGATAATGGCTATGTTGCACAGGGGCCTGTAGTACACTCACTCAAAAGATAGTTACTAGAGAATTCTGGGATGTAATGGGGGAAAACTGGTAGGATCACAGTGCTTTTCCCGGAATTTCATAAGTTATTCCATGTAGGTTTCCCGCCAACTCCACATAATAGTACATAACATGGTACATTATTGCTACTCAGTGTAAGTGGGGTCGGGCCTGGACGTGATGGAAACTGGCACTGGAGAGATGGTCACTCCAGAGTTGTGACCGGCAATCTGAACCTCCATCTGATCTCAGCCCATGAGCCGTGGGTCGACAAAGATGACAACTATACACCCAAATCCAACTGCCCATTTTCATCTCACCAGGGAGCAAGAACATCGTCTTAGGGGCCGACTCCGTGGCCAAGTGGTTAAGTTCCTGCACTCCGCTTCTGTGGCCCAGGGTTTCCCTGGTTTAGATCCTGGGCAGGGACAGGGCATCGCTCATCAGGCCATGCTGAGACGGCATCCCACTTAGGAGAACTAGAAGGACCTACAACTGAAATATACAACTATGTACTGGGGGGATTTGGGAGAAGAAGAAAAGAAGATTGACAACAGATGTTAGCTCAGGTGCCAATGTCTAAAAAAAAGAAAATAAATAGATAGATAGATAGATAGATAGATAGATATACCATCCTATATACCCCCTCTGTTATCCATTAAAAAAAGAGAATGTTGTCTTAGAAAGGCAGTACGGTAGAACAGCAGGCAAGGGGTCAGAAGAACTGAGTTCTAGGCGTGGCTTGCCACTTGCTGACTAGGAAACGTCAGGTACAAACTTTCTGACCCCCATTATCATCGTGCACAGTGGGCATAACACATGCGGACCCTCTCTGGGAGGGTTGTGGGCAGAAGCGAATGAAGTACTGTGTATAAAATGCAGTGAAGACGCTCAAGCATCATCCAATTGTACAGGATTGTTTTAAAAAGGTATTCTTCCACTCCACTCGAAAACTGACGTTGGAAATGGAGGGACTCCAAAGCTGTTGTATGTGAGACGAGGTTGAATAACACCACCATCGCGAGGCTCAGCGCCAGGCAGATCCAAGAGCAAGAAAGAAAGAAGACAAGACCCTCCTGCAACAGGAGCTGACCACGCTGAAGCTGAACTGGGGCTTAGGAAGGAAAAAAGGAAGCAAAAAAGGCTCCATTTACCACGTTTGCAATCTCCTGAAGGAAACATGATCTGAACGATCCATCACCGACAGGACAGGCAGCACAAGGGGAAGAGCGCACCCTGGTCCCCACGCAGTCATCACCGTCCCCGCGGTCAACGCATCCCCAGCACATTTGACGTCTGCGCGCTGATCTTGAGAAAGAATTTAAACACCAAGCTTTACAGCTCCTTGCAGAATGAGTACGCATTGTAAATGTTACCTTATCTGAGACTTCTGTGTAAGAGTCCAACAAAATACGTCAACATGAAAGGAGCAAGCGCAAGAGCCTCGCTTCAGCCTTCTGCCTGGAGCTTTCTTTCTTTCTTTTCTTTTTTTAAGAGGAAGTTTGCATTATTTCATCACTTTGGATAAAAATGCATCAGACTATAGCTCTTAAAAACTAGCTTGAAAGGTAGACGCTGTCTTAGTAACAAAAATATGTTTTTGGAGGAAAGCTTAGATAGCAAGTTATTTTTTTTTAAATAAGTCTTAAAACGTTGGGACAAATAATAGTTATCAAACACTCATACACAAATTGTGGAAGACTTCTAAATTATTCTGATAAACTTGCAACTGAAGGTTTTCCAAGAAGTTATTTGTTAATTCACTTTGACTCACTTCACCAAATCCTAATGACAGGCTCAAATGCACGAGTCTCCACCGTGGAGGGCTAATTATTCCGCATCCAAGGTCTTGTTTTCTCCTGTCCAGAATGATTTTCTGGGTAGTCAACTAGTATCTGGAGTTCCCCCACCTTGAGGCTTCCATTATAACTACTTCCTTAAGTTTTCTAAATACAGACATAATAAACACACTACAGAATTCACTCACGTGAAGTGCACAGTTATATGTGCTTTGATAAATGCAGTCTTTTAACGACCACAGCCAAAATACAGAACATTTCTCTCACCCGAAAGAAGCTCTCTCCTGTCCTGTTAGAGTCAGTCTCCTCCCTTCTGCTCTCCCCTCTTTCCCACTCAACCCCATGACAACCACAGATGTCTTTTTATGTCCATAAGTTCCCCCTTTCTAGAATGATAAATAAATGGAATCATCCATGATATAGCCTTTATTTGTATGACTTTTTTCACTTAGCACAATATATCTGAGACTCATTTGTGTTGTTGCAAGTATGGTAGCTGCCTCCTTCTTAATGCTTCGTAGTGCTGCATCTTACATCGTTTATTCACTCACCAGTGGACAGCCCTTTTATTGTGTCTAGTTTTTGCGTGTTGTGACTAAAACCTCTGTGAATATGGACGACAGGTCTCTGCGAAGGTGCATGTCCGCATTTCTCCTGGGTAAATACTTAGGAGTGGAGCTGTTGGGCTACACGGCAGGCGCACGCTAATTTTATAAGAACCTGCCAGACTGTCCTCAAAGTGGCTCACTTCACTTTCCCGCCAGCCGTGCAGGAGAGTTCCAGTTTCTCCATCTTTAACTGTTCAACGGAAACCTTATAATTAATCATTGTATATGAACCCACAGGATGACTTGACAATTGATAGCCATTTGAAGTTAGGTGTAACATTTATGAATATTAAGAGTTTGCCTATCTCATTTCATTCTTCCTGTATCTCTACAAGAAGAGTATGCATAATATCCTCATGCTTCAGATGAAAACACTGAAGCTTAGAGTAGCTAATTTGCCCACAGAACCACTGGCAGACCTGGAACTTTGTCTGAGGCAGTCTGATTCCAAGGCCGCTGGAGTGTGCAGGAAACAATTGGGGTTGCCTATAAACATATATTTAATGACACACGGAAAACAGAGCATGGAGCTGTTCTTCCTCACTCTTCTTCACTCCTGATCTTTGGAGAAAGACAAGGAGAGCATACTTACATGACTTAAAAGCCCTTCCTTGCTAACCTTCTATGCCCAGACCCAGGGATAGAGGAGGCGACATTCCTGAGGAAGCTGGCCTCCCAAAATAGGATGCTGAGACCAAAGTTGCAAGTCACGCTCATTCTGCCATCCCTACTCCATACAGATCCTGAAACCGCATTAAGATATTGCATTGAGCGGCATAAAAATGCACCCACAAGCACTTAGATGGGCAAGTTCTCATCCTACAGAAATGTCTTCGCACAGTTTGAAGTGCACTTGCCTAGTCACCAGGGACAAGGTCGGTCAGCAGGGACCCCGCGATTTAATTGTCCCTGCCTCTGCTCTGCAGCCTGAACAGGCTTACGCCCTCATTCTATTTATGGGCTGAGGAGGCAACTTAGGTTCTTCTAACATAGAGAGACTGAAAATACAAGGTGGTCTGATTTGGCACAGTCAGCATCTCCACACATGCCCAGGCCACCCCTGCTCTGACGGCCTGAAGGCTGCCCAGCTCACTTCAGTGGGCAGTGTGCTTTCTCGCCGTGTCCTTGGGCTGGCGCTGCCCATCCCTGCTGCTCGGTCTTCTCTTATCACCATCCATGAAATTATTAGGGCCCATGTAACATTACTAGGAAACCCACACTTTGCACACCTATTATGTGTCAGGCATTTTGATAAGTGCAGCAAAAATACCATGTTGTTTGATATCTTTGTAATATCCTTATTGTCTGTACCGTACACAGGGGAAACTGAGTCTTAGAGAGCTATGTGGCACATCCAAGATGACACAGACACATTACCAGGTTCAAGGCCAGGCAACCTCGCTTCAGAGGCCACACTGTCCAGCACCTTGCTCTCCTGTGCTGATGAGCTCCAATCAGATGGAGGGTCTGTGTGGGGATGAACACGGGGCCCAAAGCCGAGAGCTTGGTCAGTCTGCGAGCCCACCAAGACCACGCTGTGCCCCAACTTGGAATGCTTCTCTAACCTGTGCCTGCCTGAGGACCCTTTACATTTTCTTCAAGGCCAAATTCTAGGGTCACTTCTTGAATCTCTTGATAATTCACATAGAAGTTTTGTATTCTGTGTTCCTGTCGTCTCTGACATCTCCAGCTAGCAGTTATGGCTGCCTGATAATAATTTGCTTTTAAGAGAGTCTTCTTCATTAAACTAGGAGATATCTGAGACAAAACACTTAATCTCACTTCCCTTGCTGTGCCAATCAAAATCAACTAAGTTATGCTGCACACTAGACACACGCTGGACACACGCTGGATATCACACTGGAAATGTGCTGGACACACACTGGACACCACATTGGACACATGCTGGACACAACACTGGACACCACATGGAACACGTGCTGGAAACATACTGGACACGCACTGGACAGATGCTGGACAGCACACTGGACACATGCAGAACACACTCAGGACACACACTGGACACCACACTGGGTGCGCTGGACACCACACTGGACCCAAGCTGGACACACGCTGGACATGCACTGGGCACTCGCTGGACACATTGGACACACACTGGACACCATGCTGGTCACATGCTGGACCATGCTGGACACATACAGGACACAAGCTGGACATACACTGGACACACGCTGGACACCACACTGGACACGCACTGGACATGCACTGGACACCACACTGGACACATGCTGGACACACACTGGAAACCACACTGGACACCACACTGGGCCCAACACTGCACACCAGAGGGGAGGCCAAGCCCATAAGAGGAGGCAGTGCCTCTTCTTATCTGCAAAGTTCAATAGAATACATCTGTTTCCTAGAAGCTTTTCTTTTTAAAAATACGTACATAGTATTCACGTAAGGTTTACACAACACAGAATCACACACACCTATAAGCTATTTTAAATATTAACTATCTCATTAGGCAAATTTTTGTAATAAGACACATTGTAACTATGAGAATAAACTCTAATGCGTCTCCAAATTTATATTAATCATAAGAAGGTTTTACCAAGTAATCTAAGTCATGTTTACGGGGTTGGGAGCATCTTTGATTTTATGCACTGTATCTTATGTAGGCACGTGTTCCAAGAAAATTAAGAAAAATTGTTAATTAAAAATATTTTTAAAGGAATTTGCTTTCCTATATTAAGCATTAAAACTAATAACAAAATACTTCCATGTGTTCGATAAAAAAATTACTTTAAGTCTATGAGTTTGCAACTTCCTATCACTTAATAGGCTTAAGCCATTTAAGAATTTGGATTGGCAATTTTACATTGAGGATGGCAGCTCAGAGAACGGATCACAACTTGGGTGTTCAAGTACTCCATCAGAAAGTCGATACGCTCAAACAATTTGGGAGCAAAATAACCATGATACCTACAATTTTGACATTTATGATAATTAACTGCAGCTTTTGAGAAGGAAAAACTGCTTATTGCCTATGTTATATGGTACGTGCTGAACAAAGTGGAACCGCCCTTAAATGACCAGCTGGCATCACGCTGCTTCCACACTACTACCACACTCTGATGCGTACAGCAGCTCTGCACACCCAGAACCTGCAACTATTACAGTGGCGCCAACTTTGAGCACAGGTAAAGTTCAACAAACTAAAGGGGAGTTTTGTCCTTTTCAAAGAGTGGCTGGCTCCTAATCCTTGTGAAACACTGTTTCACAGAAATTGCAAACTCTTACCCCTCCAAGAGTGCTGAGTCTGTGGGCAAAAAACTGTCTGGAACGATCCAGTGGGAAATGTGCAAAGTGATCTGTGCTACACAACCTTAAAATGAACACAGATCAACAACATGGTTCCTCAAGGAATCTCCTTCTGCTTGGTCACAAATATCACAGGTTTCAAGCAGCTCAGCATAGCCAGAAAATATAACCAAATTCAAAACTTAAAGTTAAAATTTGCAGGTGAAATTTCACCTCTAAGTAACTCAAGCTATAAGTAAAAATTAATTATTTACAACTCGGTGGTGGGTCAAGTTTTGTGTTTTTTAAAAAATATAGACATGCCAACACTATTTTAGCAGTAAGTACAGTACATGAGAACATGGACAAGTAACCAAGACTATATCTTGACCCTTTCCAGTACTAGCTATATTTATTTTTTGAATGAAGATTTGAACTCACTTTTGATCTTAATACACATCTTTTCCTTTTAGTACATATTTTCCCTTTTTAATACACAAGTCTTTAAATACTTACGGCTAGTTTCAATATTTACATAAATTTACATTTCATATTTGCACACATTTATCATTGAAAATAGTGCTCTAAATCAGTGTAAGTATGTTTAGATAAACTGTCCAAGAATAACCATTAATATTCAGACAGAGATTCTGAAAAAATTATAATTTATAAGCTTCTAATTTTTATATTTAGTATTCTGTTTCTATCTTTGATTCTAAGCTATATTTTCTTTGTCACTTTTGATGTCTCCTTACAAAATACCAGGTACTTTCTGATAATATAGAAACAGATTATATATTTTAAAAATCCTCCAGGGTTCTAAAAAAGCTACTTTTATCTGTTTGTTGTTTGATAAATATTACAATTAAATGTAGCATAAAACTGTAACTATAAAATACATAAAATACCTGGCAGAAAAGTAACAATTGAATTATTTTACTGTACAAATTTGAATACTTTGACATTCAAAAAAATTTCAATTGCCAGAATATATGTACAACGTACATAAACTAAGGAAAGTGACATCTATTAAAAATGATACATAACCGAATTTCGAGTGATCAATTTTAGGGGTCATTTACAACCTGCTGGTGGAATCTAGTCAAGGCAGTATCTAAAAGTTTATTTTTAATCCTCCCATTAGGAGCAGAGCGATAAACACAGTCAGCTGTCTGTCTGACTCAGCTTTCAGCAGACGTGCAGTTACCCCTGCTGGCCTCACTCAGAGACAGTCAAGACCGCCACGTGCTGTGATTTCGGCTACGACAAGGAAGGCCACAAAGATGGGCATAAAATAACCGTGGTGGTGCCCACGTCACTCGTCAGCATTGTAAGGCATTGTCCCAGAAGGCGTCTGGGGACAGGGAGGAAAGAGGACCTGACAAATCCACCTGGGACCCACAGCTCCGAGGTAAGGTGTCCAGTGGCAGAAAGGACAGTCTTGCAGAGCTGGAATCACACAGAGGAAAGCAGTGACGGGAAGTTACTGTGAATGCCCTCCCTGGGCCTGGGGCCCCTGTGCCACCTCAGGAAGCCTGGCCTCGCATCGGATGGGGTCAGCACGGGTCGGAGGCTGTAAGGCACAAGATGTGAAAGAAGGTGCAGTGCCCCCCTAAACCAAGCAGGCAGTGCCACCCAAGTTCTGCTGGGCAGAGAGCAGCAATTAGGAATGTGGAAAGAGGATAAAAGCAGACATAACAATATGGAGCAAAGCACTGAGATGCACAGGCAGGAGACAGTGCGGAGGCAAGCAATCAGAGGGCTGACTTCTGTGCAGCAAGAAACACAGGAGGGAACGAGGCAGCTCAAACGAGCACTGAAAAACTGCAAAGCAGACCCTTCGCAGCAAGAAATAATTCTAGTCAGCCTTTGCTCCCAATCTGACATGTCACCCTAAATTTGGAAGCTGTGGCCCATAACATGTAGACAGACTTCTCCAATGCTCTCTAGTAAAACCACTGGACGGGGTTTTGGAATGTTTCCAGGCAAACTCTGGTTTGTAATATCCCTCCCCCATGCAGATTCATAATAACAGCAACTACTGACAGAGATTTTCTCCTTGACCAAACTCTGCTCGGGCACATCTGAATCCTCTCCCCAACTCAGCCCACGCTTTTGGATTTCCATTTCCGCCAGAATCCTGCTAGGTCAGTTGAGCCCAAAGCCCCCATCTTCAACATCTGAGCCCCCTCCATAGCTACCTGGGTCCCCATGCTCCTCGCCCTGGTCTCCCCAACCCCAGGTGACGCCTGACCCCCTGGCCGCCTTCAGCACGGATCCTGTGACACTGCTTTAGCCAAAACTCCCCTATGTTGTCTCAGTAATTTTCCAGCCATCGACCCCGTCCTGCTCCTAAATTCTCCCTGGTCCATGCTGTATTCGGAGCGGAGCCCCACCTCTCTCCCTCACTGCAAGACTCCATTTAGTGGTCCCCACCCATCACAACAGTCCCCCTTTGAATAAGACCTTCCTTATCGTACGTCAACAAGTGCATCAATGATTTTTTCCTTAACACTACTATTTACTGGGAATCTACTGTGCCCCAGACTCATGATCTCATTTAATGTGTAAAGTGCTACCATTACTGAAAACAGTTGAGGACAGATGGGAAAAAGTCATACTCCTCAAAGACACAAATTTATGTAAAATAATTTACTAATTTTTTTTTTTAAAGATTGGCACTAACATCTGTTGTCAATCTTATTATTTTTTTTTCTTTTCTTTCTCCCTGAAGCCCCCCAGTACATAGTTGTGCATTCTAGTTGTGGATCCTTCTAGTCATGGCATGTGGGATGCCACCCCAGCATGGCCTGATGAGCGGTGCCATGTCCACGCCCAGAATCCGAATCCGGGAAGCCCTGGGCCGCTGAAGCAGAGCACACGAACTTAATCACTCAAACATGTGGCTGGCCCCTAAAAATGTTTTTAAAAGTTTAACCTGATAAGAAATTACTCAAGTCACGGAGTATTGACTGAAAGCTTCTATTTGCAAGGCATCTAAATGTACATAAAACATAGCATGTGTAGCAATAAGAAAATAATATTTGCAATATACAGTTATGCAAAAAAACCAGATAATGGATATTACATTATGACTGCAATTTTTATTTAAAAAAATGTGTGTAACTGGAAAAGATAGGGAAGACGTAACCAACCAAAATCAAGCAGTGGTAATTTCTGAGTAGTTGTTCGATTTCAATTTTTCTCTCTTGGCTTAGGGGCAATACTTCTCTACAATAAACATTACTTTTGTATTTAGAAAAAATCAAACACGCTTATTCATAAAAAAACATGAATGGGCATTACATAAATTTATTCAGTCAGTAAAGTAGTAGACTAAACCTGTCCTGGTAGGAAAAAGAAAGTGCATTGAAACATCATTATATAAGGAAGGAGGAATGAGATTTGTCACCGTCACAGACCTGACCATGCCCAGCCTTAATGTTCCCTCAAGAGGACTAAACTTTAGACAGGTTTCTCCCTGACTAGGGGCCCCTCACCTCCCTTTTCTCAGAGCATTTACTTTAGAAAACTTGCAGTTGGAAACTGCTCCTCTGCCCCTTTGAGATGTAAATCTTCTCCCAGCCTCAGGACAGTTTACAACCCAGGAACGTCTTTCTCAAGGACCCTGGAGCCATCCTTTGAATTGTCATGTCAGAGAAGATGGTCTCCATTGGTCTCTCATTCTCCTGGGAAAGGAGGGGCCTGACTCCCAGAGGAGCCAATTAGCAAACACAGACGGCCCATCACAGGGATCCACCTCCTTCCTTCAGTCCTCCAATACTTTCCCACTAGCTCACCCCGTGTTTGAAATCCCCCACCCTCTGCTTCAGCGGACTGCAGGTCAGTCTGTCCCTATGGCAACAGTCTTGACCTCTCAGTCTTGAATAATGACTTCCTTGCCTGTTTAACTCTGTCCAGTGCAATTTTGCTCCCACAGACCATACTAGCTCATGGCAAGTTTACTCTGCTCTAAAAAGCACTCTTAACCCCACTCCATGGGGTTGGGTGGTTCAGCAGTCTTGGGTCTCGCCAAGCATCCCTTCTCTTCCACTCTGCCCTCCATGCAGCCAGACGGATGGAGTAAGATCCCAAGATGGAGATGTTTGCAGAGAGGTTAGCATACTGCTGACTCTGTGCCAAGGCTGTGTTTGCCAGAGTCCCCAACAAGGTACTGAAACGCTCCCAGCTGGTGGTAAAGCGATAGTTTGCTCCATCCTTGGAGGTACGTGCCTAGGGAAATGCTTTCAAAAGGAGCAGGGAAAGCAGAAGTAAGGATGTGATTGGAAGCGAGAATTCCAGGATCTCAGTTATAATACCACCCCTAGCCCCAAACACCACTGTAACTCCTAACTATTAATAATAATAGCTGTGACTTGAGTGCTTATTAAGGAGCAGACACCATACTTCATGCAAATTGCCCCATTTAATGTTCAAACAACACAATGAGATGAATATGGTGATTACCACCATTTAGATGAGGAAACCAACAATCAGAGTTTAGTACTTGCCCGGGGTCACCCAGACACTTAGTAGCAGAGATGGTATTTAGACCCAGGCCCAGTAGCTCCATTTGGCATTATGTGCTTATTTTAAACTGAGTTGTTTATCTCAGGAGTCAAATTACAGTTCATATTATTAATCAGTCTGCTTAAGTTGGCTTCGGTGAGGGCTTGCCTCCATTAAACCTGGGCAGGTAAGCTAAGACAGAGACAAGAACTAGGCCAGCAGACAAGTGAACACCCAAAGAGGTAGGCTCGAGAGCGAGACCCAACAACTCCAGGGCATAAGTGGACCGTGCCAGAAAGCTAAGACTTCCACCTTCCCTGATTGTGAGCCATTGGACCTGTGATATTGTGACTTATAACAAGAAATACCAATTTGACCTTCATCCCCATTTCTGGCACAGAGCTCCTAAAACCTTTGGAATTTCCTGCAATAAGAGCGATAAAGGTGCCTCTTGTTATGTTAATGAGGTGACTGTTGGAAAGCACCTCTGGATGGGGCTATTGCCAGGAGAACTAACCATGTGATTAGAGTTGAAACTTTCAGTACCCCGCCCCCCCAACCTCCTGGGAGGGGAGAGGGGCTGGAGGCTGAATCAGTTGCCAAAGGCCAATAATTTTATCACTCACACCTATGTAATGAGGTCTCCATAAAAACCCAAAAGGACAGGGTTCAGAGAGCTCCAGGGTTGGTGAACAGGTGGAGACATGGGGAGAGTGGTGCACCCAGAGAGGGCACGGAAGCTCCGAGCCCTTCCCTCAAAATTGCCCTACGCATCTCTTCCATCTGGCTGTTCCTGAGTTATATCCTTTTATAATAAACCAGTGATCTAGTAAGTAATACATTTCTCTGAGTTCTGTGTGCTGCTCTAGAGAATTAACCGAATCCGAGGAAGGGCCACCAGAACCTGTGTTCTACAGCTCGTCGGTCAGAGCCCAGGTGACAACCTGGACTTGCGACTGGCATCTGAAGTGGGAGGCAGTCTTGCAGGACTGAGCCCTTAGCCCGTGGGGTCTGACGCCCTCTCCAGGTAGACAGTGTCAGAACTGAGCTGAAGTGTAGGACCCCTGGCTGGGGTCAGAGCGCGGCCTGGATGTGAGGAACCCTCGCACAGGTTGTGACTGGAGCAGAGCACGGTCAGGCCACACCGCTGTTCAGCCGAGTGTTCAGGGAACTGGAAAAGGGTTTAGGGGGTGACTTCCAATCTTGCTGTAAACATGATAGCTCCTTTTAGCCAACGTGGGCTCTGGAGGGCCTCCCACCCTGCGCCAGTCTTGAAGATACGGACACGGCACTGGACAGAAGAGTAGCCCCTGGAGGCACTTTATCCCCCAGAGTCAGACACCTTTCCAGAACTTCTCTGCTCTACCAGGAAATTCTCTAAATTCAGCTCTTCACGAGCTTAATAGAATTTGTCAGAACAAATAAAAATGGCAAGCAAGAGGATATATTGGAGAATATGAGGAAGCCATTTTGTGTAAACCTAATTCGGCCTGACCTTGTCTTTCCAAAAGGGCCCGACCACTGCATTGAGCATGCATTGTATATCTGCTTTAGATATTCCCTATGGCAAGAGCAAAGGCCCTTGAGATAAAGATGCAACTTCCCTCCCCCTCCCAACGTTGGCATTTCTTTAAGGATTAAGCATCTTTCCTTAGGCTAGGAACTGATTGCTTTGCTCACCTGTGACCACCCAGCTCAGGACAATAGACTTGCCTCCTGCTACGCCCTCCAAGATAGCAGACCCACTAACTGCTGTGTCCATCAAGCGCCGTGCCTACAGGGCAATCTTGTGACTATTGTGGAGGGACATTTCAATCATATGTGAAACAGCCTGTTTGGGAGTATATAACGGCTCTGTACACCTCACTTCCTTGGTGCCCTTTCTTCCTTCGGGAAGAAAGGCCCCGGGCCATGGTCCTCAGATTTCAGCTCAGAATAAACTCTCCCAAATTTTCATTTATAGATTGGTTATGGATTATTTTCGTCGACAATTCCAACCACAAAACCTAGGACTGGTTCCATAGTGGAAGATCAACTCTCCTCAAGGTAATTCTGCTCCTAGTTCTGGCTTCCTACTTCCAAAGGGAAGAACAGAACGAAGAGCCTGCCTTGTGCGGGCATTTCAGTACCTTCGTGCTTGATTATTTTTGCTTTTGGTGGTGTAAGTGGGCACCTACATACACTTTTACGGGCATATCCGGCTGGATCTCAGGCAGAAAGGATGGAATGAACTGGGAGAGGGGTGCCTCACGCGCTGCCCACTGGCTCCTCTTTCTTCCCATTGAGAGCACGCTGTCGTGCTCCTGTGGCTCACCCACGACCGTGCATGTCTAGACCAAAGCATATTTCACTGAGGGAACCCTATGGTTTTTAAAACAAATTTTTTCCAGAGGTTATGTAGTCATACATTTTTCTTAATTTTTTCTTATCAAAATGATGACAGAATATATGTGAAAATATACGGTATTAGAAAAATAATCCATAGCCCTTAAATCAGGTAAGATTATGTCCTGACACTTTGTTAATTGGTACATAAATTATCTTTTCTGATTTCCGGAATAAGATGCAGAGTCGGTGGAGAAAAAATCCATTTGACTTGATAAAATATTCATCCCTCACCTCTGGTCGAATTCAAGTTTTCAGTATAATACCAAACCAAGCATTTATCTGAGAAGTGAGGCGAAAGGGTTAATTCTTCAGGTTATTCTCTTGTCTCACCCAGAACTGCAAGAAAATCTCCCAGGAAACCAACCCATCTGGGCATCTTATTGCTTCTTTTTCTCCGTGTCGTCTTTTCTTTCTTTTTTCCCCCCACTCTAACTGCATTTACTTTACTTTGTCTTTTTATTCAGTTTGCACTTTATCCTTGGTCTCAATGTTGACAACACTTTGATTTTACAGAACTTGAATCCTGAGTTCCATCTCATCCCTTTCGTTGGGGCAAACACATATGCACACACGCGCACACATGCACACACATTAATTCTAGAAGGAAAGGCAGTCGTTCTACTAACGCAGTTCAGGGCCATTGCAGAGAAGCACAATGATGGCGGGAGTCTTGGAGCCCCAATAATCAGATGCCGTGCTAGCAGGGCGGTGCCTTGTCTGGGATGTTTAATACTAAACAGCAGGAATCTGATGCCATTTGGCAGCTGTCCTGGGACTCAGAGTCCAGGATCAAGTCCACGGTAATTTTTTTCTCTCTTCAACTGGTAGCACTGTTATAATCCAACTAACTTGGACCACCACCCCCCCCCCCCCGCCCCGCGTCCCCACAGCGACTGATCTGTAGACACAATAACGCTACCAACGCCCACTCACAATCAGTGCGATTAGCGAGGCACCACACTTAGCTCAAAAGAGAAATATATGCCCAGTAAAGGATAACTGGTAAGTAAAAATATACAAAAGTGCTGACATTACAACCAAAAAGAAACATACCACAGCACAGAAGTTTCTCACGCGGCAAGCAGGTGAACAGTCGTGGAGATGACTGGGTGCAGCCGAGTATTTTTAGGAAGATAATTGTAATAGTTGAAAGCTGACAAACTGATTCATTGCAACCTATATTCAGTGTTAGTATGTTCCATTTTCATCTATGGCTTTTAGGTTTGGTGCCAATAGTTCTCAAACCTCTCTGACTACAAACTTGAAACCAAAGACAGCACTTATGTGTTTTAAATGATTTGCGGAAGCAAATACCAGAGGTAACGCTGGGTCAGACGGATGCAAAGTTCTTCCAGGAAACTCTTGGAATGCAAGTTTAACTGTCTGAATTAAGCACACACTGATGCTCACCCTTTTCCTCCCACACCCCAGATCCTCTGCACGGAGTTGAGAGAGAATTTAAAACAGCCCTGACTTGTGAGGGAGACCTGGGGGGGAGCGTTCCCGCACTGGCCCCAGGACCGTCCCCACATGCAGCTGGAAGGGACAGGTTCCCCTCAGCGTCCAGGAGGGACTGCAGAGCAAGCAGTCTGGGTTGGGTTTTCGCCTTGCAGATTGTGCTCTTATAAGATTATTAACTAATTTAAAGATGCATTCAAGTGTTCCTAAGATTTGAAACTGCTTCCAATAGCTGGTAACTCGATGGCAGCCCCTCTGCAATGATGGTAACTGGAGTGGAAATCCCACTGGAAGACAGGCCTATGGAGAGGTTCAAAGCTAAACTCACATAATTTTTTAAAACCCATTTGTGTTTATTTGTGACTGAGGAAGAGCTGATGAGCATTATTTAGGGGAAGTGGGGCAGCTAAAAGCCCCTCCCCCACTGGCATTTGGTCTCAAAAATTCAAAGGGAAAGATATTTTCACTCGTCATTTTTCAGTCAAAACACCCCATGTCCATTTCCAAAGTAATACAGATGGTCAAACATCAAGATGCAGGTTTCTCCACAACGGACTACTTTGTCAGGTGACTGCTGCTGATCCTCATTCACAGATACGATAGAGCTCCCACTGTCTGCCCAGCAGCACGGCTGGCTCTGGGCTACAGAGATTAACAGCTGAGAGTCCAGTGGAGAGAAAAGGCAGGAAAACATACAGGGAAAGAGCGAGACGATGACAGCAGAAGCGACAAAACACAAGCCTTCCAGGGTACGAGAGGACGCCTCCTGCAGAAGTGGGGGCGGAGAAGCCCCACAAGGGAGAAGACCCCAGAACTCAGTCCACTTCTGCACAGTTTCTCTGCCCTTCACTGCTCCCTGTTCTATCCTTTTTCCATCCTCCACGTCACTCCCCACCATCGCACTCTGGGTCAGTAGTCAAAGCACGGAGGAGGCGCCTTTGAGAGTAAGTCCGAAGTCATGACGCTGGACTGTCAGCCTCAGGGCAAGGATTCTTGTCCATCTGGGTCACTGTTACATCCTCCAGTGCAGAACAGGGCCTGCCACATATGCATGTGCTCCTTCAATATTTGTTAAGAAAAGAAAAGGGAGTATTAGGAGCCTAGCAGTCTTTCATTTATGTTCCTTTCCTCTATCCCTTTCATATCACATTTATTCCCACAATTTAACATGCTTCCTAATGGCACTTCATAAAATTTTATTCTAGGGATCTTCCCACCTATAAATTATTTTTAAAAATCCAAGGCATGTTGTAGAACATTTATGTGTCAACATATGTGTCCTGGAATGACAACACTAATCACCACTGATGATAATCCATCGTATTGTTGGAAGATGACCGATTATCTGCTTCGCCTGGGAAGCGCGATCCACAAATCCCTTTATACCCACAGAGCCTGCTCACCACCAACAAGGTTGTGTCTCCCCGGGTCAATTCTTAAGATCTCCCCATCGCACTTTCTTCCTGCTCTTTCTTTTATATTTCACAAGCATATGTAAATGAGAGTTCTGATACAAATGCCCTGTATTTAAATATACGACATTAAGCAAGTGTTTCTCCTGAGGTCTCACGTGACCCTTTTAAATGCAGGCACAGCAACCTTCTGAGGAAATTACTCAGAGATTCCTACTTTTGAACTGGAGAGAATTAAGTCCCTGAGGGCCAGTGTATTTGAGTTTGGTGTTTTGAGCAGGCCTTATACACGAATATGTACATGAAACTATAATTGCAAAAATCTATTCCCAATGTCAAGAATATTAGTGTCAACAGTAAGTGATTTAATTACATGAAGGGATTTACTTCTATTTTCAGTGGTTCATAACGACAAGGTCCACATGGGGCCAGGACTTCAGCTGATGCTGGTCTCGTGCCGCACAGCTTCTGATTTTAACCCGTCTGACCTTTCCAGTCCTGACCTTTTCCTTAATATAATCAAAACGCTTACATCGGATATCTTCCGGGTTGGGCTGTGCTAACATCATTTCCATTTGTACATCTTCAGGCAAGCTTTAGAGTGCAGGAAGAGGATAGTTTTTATTTTCATGATGGAAAAAGAATTCTGAGTTTGCTAACGAAAAGGGGGATTGTGGGGAACACATACTTGGGTCTGAGTCACTTAAAGTCAGTAAAATACGGCAGGAAGAGCAGGAGATGAGGAATCAGGGAGCTTGGATTCCACTCATGCCCAGCTACCTGAGTAACTGTAGACAGGGCCATGCACTGATCTCAAGGGTCTTTCCACCAGTTGTATAATCCCCATTCTGTGAAACGTTCATCCCTCTAAAATCCGGGAGATGATCATATTGAACACAATACCAAGTTTCACTGGGTTTCAGGTTTTATTTATAATCTTCTCATGTGTTAACCATAAGTTTCTTATCTTCATTTGCAAAATAGTCTAAAATAAATACAGAAGATACCATATTTAAGTAGTCTTGAAATATATCTCTAATAATAATTAGAACTTTTCTCAATGCCATCACTTAATATCATTAAAATGCTATTCTTCTGTTGTCTTCTCAGTAGGCACAGAGTGAGAAACTGTACTATTAAAAATGAAAATACTCGAAAATAATGAACTACACACATTTCAATAGGCCATCTAGTTTATTTTCTCAAGTTCTGTTTTAACGTGGCCACTTGAAACCACAAATGCTGGATCCCTTTGTCTGTGAGAAAAGCCATTCTCAGTGAGGCCTATCCATAAGATTGATAATGATGAGACAAGCACACATGAGGAAATTCCTAATAAAAAACAATAAACTGGAGAATAAAAACTGCAAAAAAGTGGCCTAGTTCCTATGAGGAAAAGTCAAGGTAAAATTATAAAAATAAGCTCATTTTATCATCACATTTCTTCTGAGGACAAATCTGAAACTGGTTTGGAAGTATGGACATCAAAATATAAGAAATAAGGGGCTGGCCCCGTGGCCGAGTGGTTAAGTTCGCGCGCTCCGCTGCAGGCGGCCCAGTGTTTCATTGGTTCGAATCCTGGGCGCGGACATGGCACTGCTCATCAGACCACGCTGAGGCAGCGTCCCACATGCCACAACTAGAAGGACCCACAACGAAGAATATACAACTATGTACTGGGGGGCTTTGGGGAGAAAAAGGAAAAAAATAAAATCTTTAAAAAAAAAAAGAAGAAATAAATTTAGAGAATAAATGATCTATTGAAGAAAATTATGATTGTTAACAAGACAAAAAAAAATGCTTTCTGTTTTACACATCTGTGTCTTCATATACTCACAGCTTTATCCCATGCACTTGGGACTTTATTTCTGAATTTGCACAGTAGAGAAATCAAGGCTATCTTAATTTGATGATATTTGTCACCATCTACATAATATCTGTGGCCATTAAAGTATTATTCACCATTTCCCTAAATATACAAATAAAAATTTGCAAAGGTAAGCTGAAATATTCTGCTCTTTCTCCAACAACTGAATTAGATACTTCATGGCAAGGTTTTTGCAGAGTCCTGGAGCCCATCAGAATTATTCTTATTCTTTCCCGTGCCATGCCTGTCCCATTGATTTTAACATTAGACTTTAAGCCTGATAACTTTCATTTCTTTAACAGTCTCAATTGAACTTTGAGAATATACTATAATATAATTTAGTTTCAAAACCCCCCTCCAGCGCCAAACTGACTTCCAGATTCCTCCAGATGCCTTATTCAAGGCATGCCAAATCTTCTTCCTTCTGAGGAAAATGGACTTTCACGGGAACCGGGGCTCCTTTGAATTAGTTCTTGCTTCAATACAAGACAAACTTTTCAGAAAAGAATATAATAGTTTTCTGCCTTCCTGAAGAATGTGCTTACTACCATATTAAACAAAATGTCTTTTTTCTTCCTAATAATCTTCTTTATCGTTTTCTCACACTTTCCCCCATTTGTATATGATGCAGAATCACCTTTCTCCAAAACATTTTTTCTTATAGGAAATCCATTTTTACATGAAATGCATTCTGCTATCTCTCCAAATAAAATATACTTTGTCCCCAGTCTGGCACAGGAGAGCTTTAAGAGCGAAAAGGAAAGCAGTCTGCTCCCATGGCTGTCACCTCTGTTCTCTGACCACCTTTATATCCTCTGCAGTGCCAAAGAGCCAGTCACTAATTCACCAGCCAATACCAGCAAGTGCCAACTGTGTCAGCTCTATATCTGAACGCAGGGATGTGGCCCTGAACTGAAACAGCCCGAAGCCTACTCTCAGGGAGGATGCCCTCGACCAGGAGGAGAAGCACAAACGTAAGTGGAAGACGTAAAATGCAGCCCAGACAAGTGCTCTGAAGGAGAGGCTCCGCGGGCAGAGGACAAGTCCTCTGCACAGCCCAGTGCTGCAGTTTCTCCCTTTACTTCCACTACCCGGATTAAGCCAGAAAACGGAGACTTCCACTCTCTTGCAAAAAATGAGCATTATGTGGACACGTTTTCCACATACATTAAATTCTTGATGACAGACTGATTTATTGGAATTTTTCTTGTTTCCTCTCTATTTCTCTCCAGGAAACATCCCACTCAAAACAAGCTACTCTTTCTGAGTCCGTGGCTGTCAACATCGACTGCACATTGGAATTATCTGGAGGGCTTTACAAAGCCCAGGTGCCACCTCTAGAGATTCTAGTGGAATGGGTGCAGCCTGGAAATCAAGATTTAAAACCTAATGTGCAGCCAAGATTGGGAAGCACTGCTCTATGCACATACTGCTTTCTAGAAATCCAAACACCCGATGAAGGAAAAAATTACATCAGCTGGTTTATTGTACACACGATTGGTTAATAAAGAATATTCTAGATATAAACGTTATTCATCGGTGAAGTTTTACTTTATACATTTCTTTCTTCTAATTTTCCATAATTCAGTAAATCATATTGATTTTAATATACCCTCCCTAAGATAATCAGATAAAAGTTGAAGAAATCAATTCAAATGTAGTTACCTTAGGGGATATGTGTTGAAAAAATGTTCTTTGAACATTACATCAAATAACGAAAAGGAAAAACTATCAATAAGGAATTGGTTAAATAAACATTGTTACATGCACATGGCGGGATAACATTAAAAATAATAAGGTTATTCTATGCATTCCTTTTTTTCTTTTCAAAGATGGGCACCTGAGCTAACAACGGTTGCCAATCTTTTTTTTTTTCCTAAAGATTGGCACCTGAGCTAACAACTGTTGCCAATCTATTTTTTTTCTTTCTGCTTTTTCTCCCCAAATTCCCCCAGTACATAGTTGTATATTTTAGTTGTAGATCCTTCTAGTTGTGGCATGTGGGATGCCGCCTCAATGTGGCCTGATGAGCGGTGCCATGTTCGTGCCCAGGATCCAAACCAGCAAAATCCTGGGCCGCCACAGCGGAGCGCGGGAACTTAACCACTCGGCCACGGGGCCGGCCCTGATTCTACGCATTCTAAACGAAAAGATGTCCAGGATACATTGTTAAATGGAAAAAAAAAAAAAAAACGATTTCAGAACAGATTGCATGAAACGAGCTCCTTGCTGTGCTTGTAGGTATGTGTAAGGATGGACACAAACACCTGTAAGTTTGCTCATCTGCACACAGGATGATGTCTGGAGTCCTTAACTCTGCAGTATGTAGCTTGGTTTGCCAAGTTTCACTCTTCGTTTATACACTCATATATTGCTCAGCTTTCTAAAAGAATGAGCACACACTCTTTTGTTTGAAAACTTTAGGATTCTGATTTCCACAATTTCTACAGAGCACACTAATTTGCTAGCTTATGAATAATATTAGGAATCTTCCATGACTTCAACCACAAAATGACTGTGCAATTTTACATAAGACTGTGTTGTTTCAAAAAGAAAACTGTCCAACTGGCAATTTATAAACACATTCTGCTTACCTGCCAATTCAATCTATTATTTTTCAAAGATTATAAATTAGTCTCTAATTTTTATTTTACTCTACGAGGCTTGTGATAGTGATGCCAGGACTTTCCTCCCCGTTCATCCAGAAATAAGACCTAACCATCACTTGGTATTGGCCAGAATGTTACTGATGTAGATTTCTATAGCAGTTAGACGACACCCTTCAATACCATTCAATAATGTATTTCCCTACTATGAAATAAAAAAAACCCACCAGATAGTCACATACCTAAGTTCACAGTACCTCATACTCCATACTGTAGACCCTTAAGAATTTCACTGAATTTTGTCTAATCCTTCAATTAATAACATCTGCCTTTATTCAGCCAAAACTAGACTTTCACTTCTAATTCACTGTGACTCTTTATTTATCACAGGATACACTAATACATATTCAACACTGTTTGAGTTTATTATGTTATACAGTTAGCTCTAATAATTTTACAAACCATTGCACAAAATTGCACGGTAACAAGTAAGAAAATTGAGAGTCAGTCAGGTCTAAATACTCCGAATGTCTCTATCCAACACAGTAATTCTGCTGGGTTTATATATGACTAGCCAAGCCCTGTCACTGGAAAAGATATGGTCACTGGAAGGCAGGACCAAGCAGAGCACAGGTGGTGGAGGGTACTCATGTCTTCTCCCCATTGCTCCATCTCAGAGCGAAAATGTATAAGGAATGCCACTCATTAACTTCTAAATTTCTTCCCCCTTCCTTCTGCACCTTTAATCAGTTCAGATAAAGTTTATCTTGGAGTGGGAGCATCTTGGACTGACAATATGGCAAAACAAGTAGAACACGGGCTTTGCATCTAAACAGACTTAAGATGTATCTTGGTTTGCCACATATTGGATGCATGAGCTTCACTCAGTTTTCCGGTATATGAAATGAACTTATAATACCCAACTCATCATACCATTGTATCATACACTCAGCACGATGCCCATCATCAGTGTAGTCCAGGTGGTAATTAACTAACATTAGCAAACTGCTCTCATAAAGTGATGCCATGAAAGGTATCTGTACAGTTCAAGTTCACGTCATGACTAGTATAAAAGTTACCAGCCTGATGTTAACAAGTAGAAGTGTTTGGGCTACTATTATGGCTTGAAATCTACAACAGTTTACTCACTAACTCTGTTGAGGGACATCAACTACCCCCTTCAAGAGCTGCAATATTTGGTCTTTGATTCTGCTGATGACATGAGAAAATGGTCCAGGCTTGTCTGTTCAGCCCTGAAGCTGATGTGGATGTCTCAAGACTGCATCGGCTTGTCATATGAGACTCCGCAGCTGTGTTTTTAATGTGTGCTACATCCTGTCATACCAGAATTATTGGGTCTTTAAATTTGTGTCTACATTATTCATGTGAAACTGAGACAGAAGACATTTGTATCAATACAGTATATGGAAAAGTCCCTTGGTGGAGAAATATATTTTGATTTGAACAATCCAAAGTTCATGTCTAAACTGGCTGAATTAATTGGACACTTTCCCAATTCTCTAACTAACTGACTAAATATATAATGGAGTCTACTGTTGCTATAAGGAAACACCAGAAACATAAGCTTTAAAGCCACAGAGAAAAAATCTGTAAAACAGCATAGTTGGGAAGAAAACAACATGGCTGACCAAAGTCAAAGCCACGCAGACTAATGCTAACGCTTAGTATTGAGTGTCTTTACAGAGTCCTAACTTCATTTTGGTCCTAACTAAATTTTCCTCCATTTCTTCAAATTAGATTATACAGAAATGCAGTGATCACCTGAACAACTGGACTGCTCTGTGCCTTTGCCTCCTCCACACGTTCTGTTGCAGGACATTGTAATTTACAATATCAACCAACGCCACTGTGAAATACTTCCTCTAAGTAGGCGTTTTCCCACACCACATGTGACAAATATTCCAATCTGACAGAGCTCCACGTCCACTAAATCATTTTCCTCAACTGCATTATACCTAACTGCCTGCTTTGTGGCCTCTTGACAACTATTGTCCCAGCTGTCTCCCCCCCAACACATCCCAATTCAAACAAAAGAGAAGGAAAATAGCATTTATCAGATGACTGACCTTGTCCTGATGTCTTTTCTCATAAAAACCTATGAAGACTTATTATCTCCATTTCACAAATAATGACTGGAGTTCTGACTTACACGTTATCACACGATGTCACTGCACCGCAGCTGGGGAGCAAGGTGAGGACTGAGAAAGCTCAGGCAGAGGGGTAGCTACTTGTCCAGACTGACAAATGCAATCGTTGGAAGGTGTTAAAATCACAAAATGAAAGATGGCAGAGAAAACTCAAAAGTGGAATTAGTAATCTTCCCAAGTTACTCCCAAATAACCCGTGAGTATTGTAAAAAACCTACTGTATCTTACAATTTTCTGTGAGTGGTTATTCACACACTCGTGCATGCACTCAAAAGTGTTCACTGAGCATCGACTAGGTTCCAGGTACTTCCCTTCCCAAGACAGCACCACAGAGTCTCTGCCCTTGAGGAACTCAGACTCCCTTACAGAACATTCTTCGAAAGGAGGAAATTTCACATAAAAAATAAGAGATAGTGTGCCACTCGTGAAGGCAACACCCTGAAGAACTTTCTAGCAAGATTTTCTTGTATAGAAAACAAATAAAGGAAGAAGGAAATACTAAGATAGGAACATACCTTTATACTTTATTGTCTTGTAATAAATGGTCAGCTTATAAGCTTTCAGTCCCTAAACCTCTTCACAAGAACTAGCCTGAGAATGAACCCCTGGAGATGATGCTGCCAGATGGGGTCCAGGGTCAGCAAGGCCTGTTCCCCGAGAGGCAACAAGAAAAACTTGCCTTTCTTTATGATGACCGTTCTTCGAGCCCGTCTACCAAATGCTCTGTAATGTCTTGTACTCCTCCTAGAGCACAAGCTCCTCAACTGTCAACTGCTCAGGTGGTAGAATATAAAACAACTTCAAGTATGAAACACAAAATGCTTAACAGGACAAACCTACAACCCCCACAGGCAATTCTGCAGAAATCGAGGGAAAAAAGAACACCGTAGCAGGGACAACTGGAGCGGGCAGGACCTTCAGGGAGACTGTCTACAGACGGTAGGTAACTACTAGACTGGAGCAGAAGACGAGAACCCTCCTGTTTTCTGTGCAGAAAAAGCGGCAGAATATTTCTGGGCAGTCACAGACGGGGGCGCAGCACGCATGCAGGTCCTGTCCTGGAACTGGCCCTGCGACCATTACTGACACGGCTGTCCTTACCACGGGGTGGAGATGACACGCTAACACAGCCTCCCCCATTTAATGTGGCTTGAGCAGGCTGGGGAAGACAGGCCCCCATCTCACCACCTGGTACCCTTGGGAAAACCATCAACGCATTCGACAGTCACGGGACCTGAAATTCCAACGTCAGAATCCTGTCTCCTTTGAATCAAACAAAAATAAGTGTTGCATTACATTTGTTAGATGATTTATTACAAGTACTACATTAAATTTTTTATTAGTTTTGGAGTCAGCAGTAGCAGTAATGCCATTGCATAAGTTTACCATTCGGTAGCCTGCTGAGGATGACCAGGAGTTGAATTCTAAAGCAGTGGTGAGCAGTTCAGAAGCAGACTGAGGCACAGGGCCCTGACTGTGGAGACAGTGTGGGACATTACAAGGGGCAGGCGAGGGGACCGTGAGAGCTGGAAGGAGAAGGTGGAAGTTGCCGAGGGAAGGGGGGAGGCTCTGACTATGGAGAGAGAAAAGTCTTACATATTAATTTCATTTATCTCACAATTTATCCCAGGGACAGCAAAGCAACATCAATATTTTTTCAAGCTATTATTTTGGTGGAGCACTTATTACATCCTAGGCATATTCCTTTATTTTATTTCACCTAATTCTCCATCCACCTCCTCTTTCTTCCTCTTTAAACCCTGTCTTCTTTCAAAAAGGATTTGAGGGAATATTATTCACCTCTAAAAAGGAATGAAATTTTGATACATGCTACAACATGGATGGACCTTGAAAACACTATGCTTAGTGAAATAAGCCAGACACAGAAAGACAAATATTCTATGATTCTGCTTATATGAGGGACCTAAAATAAGCAAACTCATAGAGACAGGAGGAGAACAGAGGTACCAGGGGAGTTATTGTTTAATGGGGACAGAGTTCTTGTTAGGGATGAAGAAAAAGATTTGGATAGAGATAGTGGTGATGATTACACAACACTGAGAATGTATTTA